GTCGTCAACTTTTAAAAATAAAGGTGTGTAAAGAATTACAAATACCTCGTTGAAGTACGTTATATTTCAAAAACAATACATATAGATATTTATTATATTTCTCAGAGAATCTCAATGATTGCTTCGATGCCATCAAAACCAACAAAGTTTTTTGTTTATAATGCAAAAGGAATTAGCTGCCGATTCGCGTGCCTACAAGAATTTCTAACCGTGCTTAATTATCTCATTGCCATACTTTGACGAGTCTGAGACGTGACGGAGATTTCTAATAATAACCTGTTATTATATATATAATATATTGGGTTGGCAACTAAGATTTCAGTTATAGATGTTTCTCACTCCCATTTTTATGATATCCGTAAATGTTATATTATATTATTATTATTATTGTTATTTTTTATTATCCGCGAATGTTAGCAACTGGACAAATTAAATGTAGCGGTCAAGGAAAAGCGACCAGAATTGGTCAATCCGTAAAGGTGTCATTTTCCACCAGGACAATGCTAGACCGCACACGTCTTTGTCCACTCGGCAAAAATTGATGGATATTGGTTGGGAATTGATGTTACACCCACCATATAGCCCTGATCTCGCGCCATCGGATTACCACTTATTTCGATCCCTGGACAACTCCCTTCGTGGTAAAACTTTTAATGATGATGACGCTGTAAAATCTCACTTAACTCAGTTTTTGGCCGAAAAGGATCAGACTTTCTACGAGCGTGGAATTTTCAAGTTGTCAGAGAGTTGGCAAAAGGTCATCGAACAAAATGGAAAATACACATTACAGATTAAACTTCATTCCAAGTAAAAAAGAAATTTTTTATTTCATTGAACAAATCAGCAATTACTTAGTTGCCAACCCAATATAATAACGTATATGCAATATATATGTAATATACATATAATAATGTATACGATTGATACTCCGTTCTCTTCAGTCTGGATAAAATTCTGATTTCTTGTCATCAGTACTTAAATACTTAAGTAAATGTGGACACACAATGTATATAAATAAGCTTTTCTCTTCTTAAAAATTATTGCAATCGAAAAACTTCTAATTATTGTAACTATGAAGAAAATGGTACGGCAAGTGGTTAAACTAAATTTAGAGAAACGTGAGAAACATAGAAGCACCAAACCAAATCATTTCGATAAATAATTACAAAAGAAAATATGTATTAAAATCAAATGGTATAGACGCGCGTACAATATTTATATACATTGAAAAATTTATTCGTAAATTGTAGTAAATAGTGGCACTATATCATTCCCTATTTACAACTAAATACAGTGGCTCACAAAAGTGTTCGTATATCTTTCAAAATATGATAACTATTTTAAAACTGAACTATATGACTCGAATTGTTTTTAGATGATAGAGGGCCTAGTCTACTAGACGATGACTGAAATGACTTTTTTTTAAATTTTGCTATTACTTGGAATAACAAAAAAATAAAAATCTCCCGTTTTTTAACTTTTATATCTGAGCCTATAACGAAAATTTAAAAAATGTCTTTCGTAGATCTCGGTAACTTATACAGGGTGTCCCAGGTTTTAATGTTCAAACTTTGTCAGTGTATTCTATGGCACAAAGTAAGAAAAAAATGTTATGTAAACATAGGTCATACAGAGCTTTATTAAGAAGTTATAACAAAAATTCAGTATACGAATAGTAATCAACTTGCTGTTACTGCGAGCATTGGCTTGAATAGATCAGCACATGCCGTGTGTTTATTAACACATTTCGAAATGCCTACCGTTGTTGACAATACATGATTGACATCGATCAAAGATTTTTTTTATTTTTTTATTTTTTTTTTTTAGTTGATTACTATACCTATTCTGAATTTTTGTTATAACTTCTTAATAAAGCTCTATATGATCTATGTTTACATAACATTTTTTTCTTACTTTGTGCCATAGAATATACTGTCAAAGTTTGAACATTAAAACCTGGGACACCCTGTATGTATGTTAAAAATTTTATCGAAATCGGTTCACGTTGTTATGAGTTACAACAAATTAAAGATCACAAAAATCACAGTTTTATCACGATTTCGACCAAAAACTGTAAGAAATCTGCAGTTTTTGAAATTATTCGACGCCTATAGCTCGACTCTGAGTTAAGCGATCAAGTTTTCAGCACGCATATAAGTTACCGAGGTCTACAAAAGGCATTTTTTCAATTTTCGTTATAGGCTCAGATAAAAAGGTTAAAAAACGGGGGTTTAGCAAACTGGTCTCCGTATCATCTAAAAAAAATTCAAGTCATCATGTACGAACACTTTTGCGGGCTGAATGTACATGCTATACTATGCGACGGAAAATTTTCGGATAGCTATTCCCAACGGAAAATATTCCATCGAAGTGATGAATGCAACTGTTGTAAGAGTGTTTCACACATAGGAAACATCAGATATAATTAACGATGCACACGCAATCCTGATCAAAATGAAGTACCGCTGAACATAAGGATTGTCGGATCGCGTGGACAACGCCGGGAAAAAAAGAACTGTATTGAATGATTTCGTGTTGATTGTTTCCGTTTCGCACGACCCTCTGCAGGATTCAGCTTTTTAATGTCCAGTCATTACGAAGTCAACAGTGTGAGATTGCGCAATCGGTTCTCAAGCTTCGCAACGCTGGACTTAAAAGTCTAGCCCACTCGAGTCGGAAGTAAATGCAGCCGGCGACGGCATTGTAGTGCATAATGCAATAATGCGATGCAATTCGAAAAACAACGTTGCACAATCGAGCGTGTCCATAACGTCGATAGGGGCACAAGCGGTCTCCGCCGAATTTGGAGTGATCGAATCGAACGATTGCGTTATTCCTTGTCGCATTGTCATTTTCCTGAGACGTAATCGTCCAGTCGTTGATAACGCGATGATGCTATTGCATTGCATCGATAGTTCATTAAATGTGGACGGAACGTACCGGATGATTCTTCTTTTAATCGAGAAGTTTCCGCGGCAAACGACACAAAATGGAAAAACCAATTTTAATTTATGACGAAAGATCGAACGATGCGATCGAATGCAAAGGAAATCTCGGTGATAAAATCGATATAAAATCTAATGAAAAAGATAAAGTATAAAACAAGGTATAATGTCCTGCTGCTGGTCAATTTTCTGTATAAAAGTTACATGTCCCTGATAATTAATTGTTGCTGGACTGTCTATAATGTTCAAAAATTTGATATTCCTTCTTTACAGTTTCCGTGTCGTTATACGAGTCGTGCGATTAATTATTGAATAAAGTAAATCTCAATCGCAGCCCCTTAAAATCCTTGCCAAGCAAAATTGGTTAGGTTTTGCTAATTAAATCTCGCTTTGTATTGCTTGTGCAATAGTTACATAATATCTGAAGGAAATTCTACAATATGAAAAGAATGTAATGATTCTTGAAATGAGTAAAAAAATTCTTTGTCTTGTGTGTGTCGAAAGACAACGCTATGAGGAAGCCGGCAATTTATGAGGTATTTCAAAATTGTATAAAGTACTTTCGAGAGTTGAACACCTGCGGGGAACGCATGCATCAACAATGTCAACAGCCCTGACAAATTATATTCCATACGCATTTCCCGATGAATGATGTGCATTGGACGATCATTTGATAGCAGAGGGGTCATTAATTCCAGCCGATGCCGACTATTCGCACGGACCTACCTTACTCGATTCCCTCCGCGAAAGTCGTTCCACTGTTTACGATACGGTCTGCATGACAGCATCGTCTTAAAAAGCAGTACAGAGAGGCGACAGCCTTATGGTTATTTCTAACATTTCGCCTTGTCCGTGCAACATTTTCTCTCATTTACCGATTCAACGAATGTAGAAAGTGCAAAATTATGTTTCGGTTTGCTGCGTTTTCAGTTAAACGTGGCATTATAAATTATTTAGTACGTAAAGATTCATTTCTAATCCTCGCGAAAGGAGTTTTTATTTTTTTTTATTTAGGAAGCAAATACAAAAGTTATCACTGGACTGAAGTTCTTACGCAGAAAACGTACATATTGATGAAAATTATTTACATAGTTATTCTCAATGTACGCAATAAGAAATTTTCTAGTAGATGATACAAATTTTGCTCTTCTTTATATAGATATTCAGAAAATGATTAATGAAAATATGAATTTGCATAAAAATCGCAAGACTGCAGTCTAGTTGTCACTTTCAAACGTCAATTAGAACAATCTTTTGAGTCAAATAAAATAGTAAAAAATTGACTTCGCTGACGCGTTGAGTGCCGCTTCGGTTATACAGGCTATCCCAAAATTATGGTATTTCCGGGAAATGTGGGATTGCCGAGGTCATTTGAAGAAACTTTTACCTTTGCGAAAATGCAATCCGCGGCTTCGTTTACGAGTTATTAACGAAAAACAGTGACCATTGAGAGGCGAGATTAGCTGGCGCTAGGCGGCCGAGCCAATGAGCGGCTGAGCGAACGAGCGATCGAAGCCCAGTTCCGCCGATTGGCTCGGCCGCTTTGCGCCAGCCGAGCTCGCCTCTCATTGGTCACTGTTTTTCGTTAATAACTCGTAAACGAAACGTCAGATCGCATTTTCGCTAAGGAAAAAGTTACTTCAAATGACCCTAGGAATCTCTCATTTCCCTCTCATTTGCCATAATTTTGGGACACCATATATATGGGTGATACTAATTTTTAACTAGATTTTGAAATTCATTTTTACTGTAATGTATGGAACAAACCGAATGTCACTAGGATTGGTAGAATTCAAGATAATTAAACTAATATATCTTGCATGATAAATTTTAGCTTTCTAGTTTCGGTTCTATTGATTAAATGACTTTGATATTGTGGGAATTTTTGGGGTTGGTGTTCGGCCCTCGACGTATAAATTTGAATAGAAGGATCGAAACTTCGGCACAAAATTGGATATATTTAATAACAAAAATCGTATTATTAGTAAACGTAATATTTTGTATTAACCGTATTATTATATCTTTAATAATTTCGTTGCACACTTTCGGTTGCAGGTTGGCAAGACGCACCAGGAAATGGATAAGATAGCGCGTCTGCTACCGTACGTGTCCCACAAGGACGAAGTCGTAGAAATTGCTGAGTACATCGATCCTGGTAAACTCCTTCCAGGTAAGTGCCATCGAAATGTCATTCGGGTATTTTCTTGTCCATCACCGCTTCGATTAGATACATATATTCCCTGCTGATTGAACAGTCCCTTTGTGCATCACCATTGAGCAGTACATAATCGTGCAGAGAAACTATCGAGCTATTTTCATTTCTCTGATTCGAACGATCCATTTGTCAAAAACACGTTTAAATTTGCATCGACATATCCGATCGCGATCCTTGAATTTTTTATGCGCCGGTACCACCTTGTTTACGATTGTTGGCACACGAACGAATCAGAAATCAGGGAGGAGAGATTCTCACGGAGACAGTAACGTTTCAGTAGTTGAAACATTTATTCCCACTTATACGATTATTTTTAACTCCACTTTGCATCGACCTCTTATCATCCTGTGCACACGTTAGGCATACTAATCGAATTTAACCTCTTAACACACGAAATGTCGTTCCAGAACTATAAATCAATCTTTAATCTCGTTTACCACTCGATTGTTGAAAGAAAATTGTTCGTTTTCTTTGTGATACAGGCTCTCGTGCATGCACTGAAACTGAAATATAATTTCGAATTTAATGAAGTACAGTAAATCATCGTATATGTATATAGAATAATCGTACTTCCTCTTCCATTTTTGTTCTCAAGCTGAGCGTCAATTAGGAAGAATTTATGCAAAAATCATTTTGGCTGAAATATCTGTGGTTGCAATGAGAAACGCCGGTGTGTCGCACGATTTCACTTCCTAGATATTGTTGCATTAAAGTATTGGTTACTAATTCCTCGTATTAGTAGCGTCTTAGATTACATTATTTGTTCGAGCCAATCGAATTTGTTTTCATAATTTCTGTTTCGATGAAGTCGCGAATCTCATACTCGATAGCTGAATTAATATGTGCCCATAATTATGAAAGTGGTCTAAGTCAAAATTAAAGAAAAAAATGAATTTATCACTTATTTCACACGACATGATTTTAAACTAAATTTATTCAATGTAATTTTTACGATATCGTCAAAAATGAACCTTTAGATAGTAGTTGTAATTACAACGTTATACGGAATTCATTTAGTGTTAATTATGAAAGTGGTCTAAGTCAACAATTTAAAGAAATTATATAAACATAACTTGAAAATACCGCAGCCGGGTTTTATTTCAACGAAATCACTTGAAAAATCAATAACAAGGAGAGTAAAAAATACCGCGGGCGAATCTGTCTTTTAGCTAAAAATTCAATGGATGAGTTTCTTGAAAAATGAACCTTATCAAATGTTTTATAAGACTTCTTTAGATGATTCTGAATTCCAAGTTTTGGATCTTTCACCTAAAAGAGGAAGACCAAAAATATACGAAAATATTCAATTACTTCCATTATACAACACCACTAGACCAGTAACGGAAGAAAAACATAAAGATCTGATGTGTTTACTACCATACATCCCTCCAGTTTTTCAGGAACATTTTAAAAATCTTAAAAACTCGAAATTATGATAAAAATGGATTACTTTTTAAAAATGA